CCCCAAAACCCCAAAACCCCAAAACCCCAATTAGGGAGGAAATTGTTGAAATTTTGGATAATAGGGTTTTAATAATTTACTGGTGGTGTTTAGGCGAATCCATTGAAATCGTTCTAAGTGAAGATATGGAGGTTACTGTTGAGTATCTAAGAAATCAAAGTGTGCTTGAGGAGAACATAGAGAGCTTCATTAGTGAAGTGACTAGCTTAGACAACGAAAGGCCTGAAGTTAAGATATGGGATTTAATAACAGCATCCATTGAGGAATCTCAAGGCGATCTTACCCAGTTTTTGCTAATGCTTGGCCCAAAGTTTCAGTACTTAACAGTGCTTCTCTCAGACAACAATGGTGATGTTTATCAAGAGTTTGAAGATTCAGTGATCGAGTCTTACAGAGATGAACAAGAAAGCGAACCAAAAGACTCTGAAATGGCTATTGAGCCTGAGCAACAACTTGAACAAATTCAAGATCTAGAGAAAGTTCTACCAGATTTAGTAGATAAAGAAAGAAAACATGAAGAAGAGAAGTACGGACAAGATTCGGAAATCCTTGATTACGAAAATTTTGATGATGAAGAAGAGGATGAAATCTTAGATAGAGCTCTCGTAAGACAGAAGAATCTGAGTTCAGATGAAGACGAACCTCAAGAAAATGCTCATGAAAGTTTCACCCCAAAATCTTTTCAACCACAGAAGTTAGGGCAAGAAATTAAAGAAAGAAGCAAAAAGAGGTCAGGTCGTGAAGAGGGCAGAGTTAATTTCAATTTAGAGGAGAATAAAGATTTGCATCAAACGGAACAGCAAAATATTAAAAAGAAAGGATGCTCGAAAAATACTCAGCGTCAGGAAAATATGTGATCTACAATTTCAGAAGCTCAAAATAAACTTCCAGGAGTGGATCAGGATGAGGATTTAAAAGGATTTGGTTCTGAAATAATAAAACCAGAAGACCAGAAGGACTCAGAGAGAGACTCCTCTCCACAAAGTAGTATTGTTTTTTGTGAAAAATTAACATCTGGGTCAAGTCTAATCCCCATGGAACCAGTACCACTTAAACCAGGCCAGAATCCGAAATCAATGATGCTTATTCACATCCCTCGTTTTAGTAACAAGAATTTCAAAGTTCTTCGCTACTTCAAGAAGTTTGGAAAGATTGGTGACATCAACTGAATACCATTCAAAAACAAGTGTACCATCATTTTTGAAAAACTCAAGGATGCTGTGAATGCCTTCAGGTGCCAAGAACCCGTGATGGGTGATCTGTTCATTGAAAAAGTAAGTATTTTTAAATTCTAACATTTCATAGTGAATGCAACAATTTCCGAAAGGAAAGCCAGCCGATGAAGATATTGGGAAAATAAGAATAGCACCACATATCTCCGATTTTTTTATTAACACATATGAGGTTAAAACAGGGAAAGATGTTGCTACCTTAATCAAAGAGCGTGAAGAGTACATAGCCGGAGATTCTGGAACCAATCATCCTTGCAATAATGAGTCATCCGACCCAGAAAAGAAGGAGTACATCTCGAAACTTAATGAAGAGCTAGAGGAACACTTTTGCTCTTTAAAACAAAGTTTCTCTGTGCAAGAAAGTGATGATATATATAAAAACTAAGAAGAACTAAAGAACTCATCTTTTTGGCCAAAACTGAGAAAAAGAGCGAAGTGAAGAGAGCCCATAAGGAACTTGAAGAGAAAGTCAAGCAACGCTTTGGTGAGGAACCTGACCTCAGTAGTATGAAGTGGACTAAAACAGAGAAGACAAAGAAGGTCACTAGGAAGTATACCGCAATTCAGGATGGTCTGAAATGCTATGAGCTTGAACTAAAGATCAAAAAGGGTTTCAACAAGCTGAAAGAATATCAAATATTAGATAAAATCTATAATGCTCAACTTGAACTGATAAACCTCAGATCAACTAAAGGCAATAAAGTTATAGCTCAGATCATTTTTAGTAATAAAGATAAGCTCGCAGAAAAGATTTTGAGCATAGGCTGCTTTGAACTCATTAGTGCTAAAGAATGTGATGCGAAAGAGTTACCTGTATATCACAGAGGTTACGTGAGACATAAGGAAGCAGAGAGAGCCCCAAACCGTAGGTATCCCAATTCTAGATATCCTCATATGTATCCTAATTCTATGCCAGGATATGCCTACTCTGGGTATGACTACCATGGGTATAATTATCATGGATATGACGGTCATGGGTATGACTACTCTAGAACCAGGTATCGAAATCCCAAATATTATAAATAATTCTATCAAGTAATGATTTTTTCCTTAAATAACTGTAAATTCAAATAAAATTCTAAAAATTAAAGGGTTCACAATCGAATACCATCTTAACATTTCAAGGGGATTTCCAGGTTTGAAAATAAAATCTTAAGCAGAGATTATGTAAATATGCCTAAAAAACAGCACAGTTTGTATATCTGACTCTTTGGTGGGATTCTTGATAGTAGTATCACTGAGGTATAATAAAACAATCATCAATTTTAGAAAAATAATCATCATTTAGAGAACTTTGTATCTTCCATCTATGATCTTGGTTTGATCAGTATTTTGAAGAAGCAAAATTTGTTTAGTAGAATCCTCTATAAAACATTAAAAATGCCACTAAAGCGTCTACAATTGTTATAAAAATAAGTTTGAATATTCATCGAAATAAACATTCTAAGATTACTTAAACTTTTAAGTTTCTCACATGCTAAAAATCTTAAAATGTATCAAAAATAAGTGTTTATTTCTTGGTTATAGAATTAACGGGAAAATCATCAGCAAAATTATTCACATTATTCAGTCTAAGTCAAGACTTTTAAGGATAGTCTTAAGATTTTATTATTCAAAAGCTTGAAATCTCGAGATGCAAGAAGTAATCTGGCTCCCAAATTGAATCGACCATCAAGATACATTTATAAATAATGATAGTAATAACTTTACTGGCTTTTCATTATCTCTTTTTATCAAATAGCAAAGAAGAGACTAAAATCAAGTTGGAGACCTATTTTAAACAAAGTTTAACTGAAATGAAATTTTCGCAACAAAAATTCCTTTAGCAATTTTTACTATACAAAAAAATATAGCATAAAAGCCAAAGATGCAGATCACAGTCTATAAAAATGCTTGAATTTGAACAAAAATTCTCGATTCTCATCCATTTCAGTAGAAATTCTCTTAAAAATTCCCTAAAAAATTTAAGCACTACCAAATTTTAGTGGCACCAGAACTTAGCCTAAAAAGTGTTGTCCTGAACTTAGAAAATTCAGGCTTGAAATGTAGCCTCAGAAACTGACCAAGAAGTTATGAGCAGAAGCAGACATTTTGGATTTTAATGTCATTTCAATAAGAAGAAGGCTCAGTGGGGTTTTGGGGTTTTGGGGTTTTGGGGTTTTGGGG